CACTTACTGGTCTCGCCTCTTCCCAACATCTGACCTCCTTTCCCATCAGGATACAGGGAAGACACGGTGATGGTGTAAAGAGCATCAGGCTTCAGCTTCTGCAGGACCACACGGTTCTGTTGTCCGCCTATCCTGGTCTGGAGTCAAACAAGGATAAGTGTCAGCTTTGCTCTCTCCAGCTCACTCATCTGTTAGAAAAAGCTCTTCCTACAGGGGAGCTGTTTGAGACCTTTGCCAAGATTTGGAAACATGTCCTGCCATGAAAGTTTAAAATATATCTTACGGTATCATCCTAAATATAAATTATGCACCTTAAATCATAAAAAGGATTCTAAACCTTAAACAAGGTGACCTTAAAAAGGTATTTCAACTGGCAAGCGGCCAGCACTGCGAAATTTCATCCAAAACACATCTCACAGTTCTCTTCTACAAAAAGGCATTAATCCTAAGTGAGCTGCCAAGGAACCTGAAGACACCAAAGAACTGCATAACAGTAGAGGCCACTCAGTATTATTCTCACCTTTTTACAGATGGTTTCTACTTGCTTTAGAAGCACATTAAAATGATTCAGCAAAAGATCTAAAACTTTTTGGTTCCCCCCTCCAAAACTGCCCCAGGACCAGCATTAGCTGTGCAGACTGTGTGGCGGGACCCCATGCCAGGCCGCACTCAGGCAGGGCTTCCCAGTCCTCTCCCTGACTCCAGCCTGCTGGTGTGAAGCACCTTCAATACCTCCAGTTACAGAGTTTGAAGGTGCTTTTTCTGTTCACTGCTTAAGGCCATCCTGTTGGCCATCCTTAAGGCTATCCTGCTGAAAGTAAATTTAGTAAATCTGAGACCATCCAGTTTGTAGAACCAGCTTCACAAGGAAGCAGAAGGGTGTGGGCCTACTTCTCCCATCCCACTCTCCAAAATCATCCCACCAACAGGGAGTCACTTTACTCCTTGGACTAGCATTAAAATGCAACTATGCTGAAGAATAACAAATCTTAAGGGATTATCAGCTAACATGCCACATGTGATAAGTTTATGAGACGCCTTTTAATTATGTTAAACAGCTCAGAGACAGTAAGAGGGACTCAGGACAGCA